CCCCAAATCCAAATGCTGACAGTGTGCTGGTCAAATAAGCAAGCATGTGATTTCATCAGTGTGTGGCCCCCATCATTACACTGAGAGCTTACACGATACTCTACACTAAATTACAATTGTCAGTCTTGAAATGAGTTATTATACAGACAGATAATGATGTACATATACAGAAAGTGAGACACATGTGTGTATATATGTTCTCAAGTTTGAGAATACGCATTCATGGAAATTAACAAGTTAAAGAAGAAAACAGAAAGCACACTGTTTCAGATTATATAACCACAGAGAAAGAACAAAGTACACCTCAATATAATCAATGACTGAGTCAATGTGTTTCAATTAGGTAGCAATCAATTATATGCCTCATGGACAGGAAGGTATATTCCAGCTCTCTAAGTAGTTAAAAATTCTATTGTGCTTCTAATTACCTATTTAATTCCTTGAATACCAATGTGCAATTAACATTACAAATAATCAAGGTTAAAAATATAATTAATGCAAGTGTGATTTAGTTATAATTAAACTAATTACACAGATATGTAGCATAATAAGAGACTTGCAGACCATTACGTGGATGCAAATTTATTCTTCCTTTCAAGAGCAGTTATTTGAATTTCATTTTCCAATTATTTTACAAATGATGGAATGGAATAATGAAAGAGAAAGTCTTTCATAGATAAAATACAATGAAGCAGTTATTCTGCATCCTTTTGTAAATTCTGACTCTTTTGTTCATATGTACTTGTAAATAGAGAAGTTAGAATAAAATAAAAACCATTACTACCACAATCAACAAAATTACTGTATTTTTTTACTTCCATGACTGTAGGGAAAAATCAACAGCACAACATCAAAGAGATTCAATGCCATGTAGCATGATTCTCTTTCAGATGAGGTGTACCCACAACTAGCTTTTCACTCATAAACTTCAAATATTCACTCAAGAAATAAATTGTATTTGTTATTCTCAAATATAATTGGTTCTGAATATTTCATCTATTGACATAGACCAAGGATAACCCAATCCCTGTGCCATGGACAAGTCCCAGTCCCTGTCCTGAGCCAGGCTGTACAGCAGGAGGTGAGTGGAAGCTTTGCTTGCATTTCCAGCTGTCTGTTCCCCATCACTCACAATACTGCCCAAGCCCCACCTTCTGGCAGATGGGTATGGCATTAGATTCTCATAGGAGCATGGACCCTAGTGAGAACTAGAACTGTGCATGCAAGGGATCTATGCTGTGCATTCCTTATGAGGTGGAGCTGAGGCAGTGATGCTAGCACCAAGGGGTGGCTGCAGATACCGATTAGCATTAGCGGAGAGGTTTGACTGTAGAGAGATGCTAGCAGGCTCGGATCAAAATCCCATCATTGAATGGTGAGTAGCTCTCCATTAAGGTGAGACATGTAACTATTTCATTATATTTACAATGTAACAAGATAAAGGAAATAAAATGCATGGAGCTTGAATCATCCTAAAACCTCCCCTTGCCAGCTATAGAAAAATTGTCTTTTATGAAACCAGTCCTTGATGTCAAAATGGTTGGGGACTGCTGATACAGACTACAAAAATGTAAGTGCATTCTTTGCCTTCGGACAGCTGATATAAGTGGGACCCAAGAGCCCTTCATGACTGCAGTGTGGGAGAGGAGCTCTGAATGCAAATTCAATTGTGATTCCCTGGGGGTGGGGTTAGGGCACAGCCCCATGTCTCATAAAAAGAGGCTGAGAAAAGATGCTCAGTGCTAATAGGAAGTTGCTTATCATCCAGGCTGGATTAGCAGGGACAGAACCAGGACCAAGCTATCATGAACAGGAAATGGGATGTTCTCCATAGAACTGTGAGATGAGGACCCCAGAGGTCCACAGAAGCCTGGTCTTGTACTAGAGATCCAGGGAATGAACAGCCAAAGATATCAACAAAATGCTAAGACAGAAAGGGACATGGGGGCTGGGGAATGAGCAAGAGTAAAAACACATAAACTCACTAGTAACACGAGGCAGAAAACTCCCAGGCCACAAGAATATCTAACAGAAGGAAGTGAAATAATAAATAAATAAATAAGACCTCCTGAAGAAGTTGAATTCATCTGGACAAACAAAAGGATACACTAGGATTTTATGAAACAAACTTCAGAGTTAAATGATACCTCCTAAATGCTCCAAATGAATGTCAATATATACCACTGTCAAAGCAGACAAAATATCACAAAGCTGTTATAGCTCCTGAAATTGTAGTATAAATGATGCAAATGAGTCAAAATACAATTTTGCAAAATAAAAAGATTATGATCTTTTATGCCATCTGATAAAATGATTCATAAAATGATTCTTAAAATAATGTGCAATTATATAATATATAATATATAATATGCAATAATATATATTATATATTATATGTATTTAATAATAATATGCAATAACACAGTCCCCCAAATATTCTAAGCAATGGTAAAATGGAACTAGGAAGACAGCCCAGTACTGCAGTCTGCAGGAAGGAGTTAAGGGTGCCTGGTCCCCAAATCCACAGCATTGGATCCTTGATTACTTCAGGGTGAACTCATGTGAAGAACTGCACCTACAGGAAAGGCCATCTGGGCTGCCTTTCCTTGTGTGTACCAAGCCACAGGTGTCTTCCCTGTATCCAGGCAAGAAGATAACTTCATCACCAGGAACTGGAAGCTGGAGCCTGTAATTGCCCTAAATAAGCAAGTCCATGTCTGTACTCCTGTCTTCCACCAGGCTGGACAACACACTTGCTTCTACTGAGGTCCCTACAACTGCCAACTCAAGGACAGAGGCCCCTTTGTCCCTTCACTTATTCATTAATTTACCACTGTTTGTCCAAAGAGTACAGAAGCATTTTCTTGGCTATTTCTTCAGACCTTACACACCTTTCTGAAAAGCCTCTTGTACACATAAGATTAATAAAACTTGTGAGCTTTTCTTTTATCATTCTGCCCTGTGTTAATTTGGTTCTTACACTCAGCCAAAGAACCCACGTAAGAACTGAGGGGGAGGAGGGTCTCTTTCTCTCTGACACGAGGATGCATCATGAAACGTGAGGAATTCAGGCCAAACATTCAGCACACAGGAGGACTTTGTATCTAATAGAAGACATGTTTCTAAATGGTGGACAGAGATGCTTTGTTTTGAAAATATTTTAGATGTCATGTGGACAGAAATGAATTATATTTCTACTACACAACATACTCAAATATAAACTCCATATAAAGTAACCACATGAATAGAAAAAAAACACAAATCTTTGGAAAAGAAAATATGGAAAACAGTTTTATAATCTCAGAAAGGGAAAAAAATGTCTTAAGTTTCAAAAAGCAAAAAATAAAAAGGGAATAAAATAAAATTGACATCATTGAAATTGAGAATTTCTGTATATGCAAATCTGTAAAGCAAAGTTAAAATAAAAGGTTCCACTGACAAAAATATTTAAAACACGTAAACCATGCAAAAGATTCATTTCTGTGAGAACACAGAACTCTTATATTAATAAGTAACAAAGAGTAACATTGGTGAGCAAGGGCCAAGGCCCGGGACAGGAAATGGAAATGGGGACAAAGCCCTGGAGCTCACAGGTGATTAAGGAAGTCCAAAGGACAATAAGCTCCCATCGACTCACCCAAAATTAAAACTTCTAATCATGATTACAGAAGAGGATTATAAAACTGCTTCTGGAATATTATGAGTGAAATATCCAAAACAATCCTTTCATCTCAATCTATAACTTAAATATGCACATCTCTTACTACACAAATATCTACACTTACACACACAAACACACCCAGATAACTGACAAAATGAGAGGTAAACAAGCGGATATGTATGCATACTTAGATTGGCAGGGAACATGCAAATATTGACAATGGGTTGTAGGATTAAGGGAAATTTTGTTTCCATCTGATGCCTGACACATAAAGGCACGCAATAAATATTTGGTGAATTAAAGAATTACCTAATTGTTGAGTGATTATGATATTCCTGAAAACTGTTTTTTTCAGTTACTGTATTTGAACTCCAACATAAAAATATAAATCTAAAGCAATATTGTCCAAATCTCTTTAGGAACATTTCTCTTATCCCCACTGAGCAGACTGAAATCCAGTAAGGTCCTGAGAACCTGGTAGATAGTCATGGTCATGACCTTCAGAGAATTTATAGGAAGACATGCAGCTTTCATCATGCACTTCCAAAGACAGAGTTTGAAGTGGCTTACCATGGTACAGTGAGTTTTGCTACAGTAGAAATACAGAAAAGACCTCACAAGAATCAAGTAGCAAATCCAATCTCAGAGAGGTTTAGAGCTGGGAATCTCTTTACAAGAAGAAAACTCATGGCAGTTGATAGGAGTAGAGGAAGCAGAAAGACATCCCACCAATCTGATGGCCCCACACATGGAGGAAGAAACTCAAAGGCCCCATGATCCCAGGGGAAAACTCCTAAGGTTTAGAAGGAATCACAGTCATGCACTGTGGGAAACAGGAGTGAAAGAACTGGCTTAAGAGTGACATATAGGAATAACACTGGCGCACACGTGTTTATGTGTGTGTCCCACACAGCCTGTACAGCTCTGCTGGGTGAGCCGAACGCACAGTGTGGAGCAAAGGGAAGGAATGCCTGCCCCGCTCCTGCAGACACCACCATCCCATCCGTCTGGGTGGTGAGTAAGCATCCCACTCCCAGCCCAACACAGCCATGACTACTGGGAAGAGGAGGACAGACGGTGGCAGAGGGGACCCCCGGTCCCTGCTCACACCTTCTGAGACACAATCTCCCGACCTACCCTTGGCCTCAGCTACAGGGACAGAGCTCCACTCATTCACACTGGCAAAGTCTTTTCCATTGCAGAGAAGTGAAAATTGCAGGGGAAACATGGAGGAAAACGATGTTCCAGATTTTATTTCACAGGATTTAAGGAACTGGGGAGCTCCCTGAGCTGGACTATCATCTCCTAAGGTAGCAAAATGATTCACTCTGGATCTTACCCCATGGGTGACCTCACGACAGCGTGGCCTGAACTTGGGGAGATGTCACCGTTCAGCATTTTGAAAGTCGTGCTCTTCCCAGCTCCATTCACCCCCAGGAGCCCAAAGCACTGAGGGGAAATAAATGCAACAAAATAATGCATTAAATAGAGCACATTACATGCAAGGAAAGTTGTGCTAGAGCAGCACTTGCTCTGAGTCAACTCCGAGTTGGCACCCTTAGTGTGTGATATTTTGTACGTTTAAAATCACACTATTGTATACAGCACTTTATGGATTTCAGAGTACTTTCAAAATCATCCTGGGACCTGAGTAAGATAAAAATCCCAGTACTAATTCATAGACAAGTAAATTTATGTATGACAAAAGTCAAGAGAATGAGAAATAAATGCCAACCTTCCCAAATTATGCAGAGATAATGGTCTTTGCAAGTTGCATCATTATAGTAATGAAATCCTTCTGATTTCATTTTTCTATGTTTTAAAGTACTTTTTAAAATATCCCATCTTCCAGTCTCTAATTATACTCTCTGTATATGAGGTGTGATTAAATTTTAAATGTACTACAGTGAAAAACTCATGGCCATTAATTTCCCTCGAAACAGTCCCCACTGCTTCCAGCACACCCATCCCCTCGTCCTCGCCACCTTCTGCAGCAGTTCTGGAGCCCTCTTTCCTGAGCGTCTTTAGCTGTGCTGTCATAGCTGCCTCAATATCTTGAATTGAGTCAAGACATTTCCTTTTCATGGTCATTTTGACTTTGGTAAAGAGCCTGAAGTCGCATCATGCCAGATCCACTGAGGGAGGTGGTGGAAGGCAAACTAGTGCTTTTGTGTGACAAAAATTGTCATAAGCATTTAAAATCACTTGAGGGTATCAAAGCAGCCATGAAAAGATGGCTCCAGACACTGGAAACTGGAAACAAGACTCCAGAACTGCTTCAGAAAATGGCAAGAATGACGGGATAAATGTGTTCAAAGTGAGCAGGAGGATTCTGAGAAGCATTCGTGGCAATGCAAGCTTTACTGTGATAATGTTTTTAAAAATTAAACACTCACCACACAGTTCAATTGCACCTTGTACATGTGCACAGTTGGTGCACTGTGTACACGTCCAGCTGTGTCCTTCCTTTTCCACTAGAGAGACTGGAAACTCATTGCTAACGCAGAACCTCCGTGGACCCTGACAGTGTCAGTGACCTCTGTCAGTCTGGTCTGGGACCAGTCCTTCCCCTCAACCATGTGGAAAGAGCCCCTCGCAGTCCCTTTCCTGGGCCACCAAGCATACAGTACTTTCCCTGAGGTCACCTGGGGGCCTTAGACCCTGCACCTTGCCAGGCCCCTTCCGAGACCCCAGCTTTCTGGTGTATTAGGGCTGCTTCCACTGACAGAAACTGGCTTTCTGGCTCCTTGCATCTTGGAAAGTGACTACTTCTTGAATTTTTTTGTCACCAGGTCACACCTACCTGCCACACAACCCCATTATGTACCCCTAGATGCCACCAGATCCCCATGTTGCCATCTACTTTGATGACAATGCATCCCCCACTTTCCCGGCTCTCTCCCACTCTCTGAACTATGAGTCCACCGCAGGTCCCTGCTCTCAGACAGACAGCGACTGAACTGGGTACCCTGAGGCACACTCCATCGGCCCCCGCCCCACCCCACCACAGGCCTCCCACGCACTTGCCCTCCCTTCCTGTGCCCTCTGAGACATAAAGCACTGACGCTGACACCACTAGTGAGCCTTTATTAGTGCCCTTCCTCAGAACAATGCTTATGCTCTTGTGCAACATCACAAATGTTTATGATCCTTCACTTCCTACCCAATCACTTGTTCCTGGAGGGAAGAGGGCATACTGCAGTCATCTTTATCTTTTCTGCAGGCTCTTGTGAAACACTTCCTATGTGGGTGATAAACTGTGGTGCTCATAAAAGCTCAGAGAAGGGACCTGCAATACTAGGGATCTCAAATGTCCCGAGAGAGGCCCACGTGCTGAAGGGCTGGTCCTCAGCCCAGGGCCCTGCTGAGAGGTGGCAAGCCCTGCAGAGGTGAGGGAGGACTCAGGTCCTGGGGAGGGACCTTGAAGGGGACACAAGGCCCTCGTGCTGCCTTCTCCTCTCTCTTTAGCACCCAGCCATGAAGCAAATGGGCTTCTTCCACCCTGCACACTACCCACGATGTACAGGCCCACCGGAGACTTGGAGCAGGGCACCAGAGGATCAGAGATGGAAACCTCCAGAACTGTGTTCCAAAGTGAACCCTTCCTCTCTGTAAGTTTGTTATCTCTGTGGTTTTGTTGCAGAAATGAAAAGCTGACATAGAACCCAAATTTAAACAGCATCTCAGCTCACTCACATAGGCAAATCATTCTTATAGAGCACGACAGGTGTTTTTCTCTTACTCCTTAGCTTAAGCGAAGGCAAGAGTAGCTGCAAACCTGGGTTTAATTGATTTTGAAGCAAGGGTAAGAAATCAGTAAGACAGTCAAGTTTTCAGAGCTAGTCTGAAAGCAGAAGAAGCACTAACTGTGAAAACCTAACTTTAGCATCTTGGTTGTATTTTGCCAGACATCACAGTCTGCAGCATAAGGATGCCACGGGCTCACTTCAGGCTGCCCCTTGGCTTCACCTGACCTCAGGAAACCCCTGTCAGAAGCAGCTCCTCTCAGCTCACAGGCAGGCATGAGTGCCAGTCAGATGACAGGATAACCTGCTTTGGATTTCTCAGGAGCTCGGAACAATAAGCGCACAAGGTGCTCCTTTATTTTTAACAGTTAATTAAAGGTAATCATTTCCAGAATTGATTTCCCTTTATGCATAAGTACAAATCAGGAACAATTTATATGGCTTCTGTCAGTTCTGATTAAAGATTTCTTCAAGAATTAATGCCATGCTGATGGGGAAACATTCTCAGCTATGACTACGGTGTGTGTGATTTAATCTTCCACACAGTGCTTTGCTGGATGTGCTTAACTAGACACTCAATGAATACTAAAGCCCAAGACAGTGGTATCCCTAATTAACTGGACTTGTCCAGTGGCTGTACTCAATAACAAGTCATCTCATAGCCAAAACTACTCTGAAAACTCCCCAATTACATGAAACTTAAAACATTAGGAAACAAAAATCCTCTACAATCTATCAATAAAGGTTTCACATGAAGAAGTCAACAGACCCTCTCTTCAGTTCCACTTGTATGACTGTGGGGATTCTTCAATTTTTTTTTTTTTTGTACTGGGGATTGAACTCGGATCCTTGTGCTTGCACAGCAGACGGCAAAACCACTGAGCTAAATCCCGGCCGGATTCTTCAAATTTGAAGGCCTCGAGTTCAGATATCCTGAGCACACCACAAGTGGACCAACAGTGAGAGTCACACAGATTCACCACGGAAAAGCATGAAAAAGAAAAGCTTCGTTACCTCTCCTCTTGGTATGCCCAGACTAATATCTCGCACAGCCGTGGTCTTCCTGAAAAAGCTTCTGTAACTTTTACTGAGGTTGCACAACACCAGGATGTCTCCTCCCGTCCTTCCTTCAAACACCCTCCTTTGCTCTTTTTCAACATCTACGTCCTTAGGATGTTTGATGGTGCCTCGGACAGCAGAGTGAGTCCTGGGAAGGTAGAATCAGAGTTCATTCCCACCTGGGAAATGACCAGAATAGCTGACAAGAGAGAGAAAGGTGGACATCTGTGGAAACAGAAGACAGGGCCTCCACCGGGTCAGAAGTAGCTTCATCCAGAGCAGCTTTGCCCATGACCCTGATTACTGAGTGCACAAAAATCAACTTCATTCCCTAATCTGCAGGAAATGTACATGTTCCTGAAAGACCCTGGAACAGATCAACAGTCAACTCCAGATAATGTCACAACTTTACAAATAATAAAGTCATGCCGTACCTTAGGTTCAATGTAATTAAAAACCCAAACATTATCACATTATTGTAAAATACCAATTTTTATAGGTGCTTTGAGTAAACAGCTCATTTAATAAAGTAGATTATAAATAAAAGTAGCCAAATAGTTTAAATTTATAGTACAAGTTGGATTTGATAAGAGTTGTACAACTACCACTTTACACAACATCTTGCTAGAAGTATGCAGTAAGTGTTTGCCAGAAGAATACAAATTTTATTTTGAGTTCTAACAGGTTCACTCAAAATCTGAATTGCTCATTTTTGTTATTATTTTCAATCTGTGGCATTTTAACTTTCAAGTACATTTCAATTTCTCCCATAAACTGTAATATGGGACCACTTTAAGGGCTAAATAGGCACAGATCACTGAGTGAAAATTAAACTAACAGGGCCGAGGATTTAGCTCAGTGGTTTCGCCACCTGCTGCACAAGCGCAAGGACCTGAGTTCAATCCTCAATACCAAAAAAAAAAAAAAAAAAATTAAACTAACAGGAATGTCCTGACTTCTACAGAGTAATGTTATCATCCTAATGTCATGAAGAGAAATGGGTAGACGGTATTAATAACTTAATTTTGTGAGGTCTTGCAATTCTTACATTTTTTCTAAACAAAACGGTATTAAAAAGCAATCTACTGCCTGATCACACTCCTCCTACCACAGGGTGTCTGTTGTTTTACCAGGCCTGATCTTTTTATTGGTACTGGGGATTGAACCTAGAGCCTTCACACTGAACTGCACACTGAGTTACGTCCGTAGCCCTTTTGGATTTTTCACTTTGAAAAATGAGTTGCTATGCTACCCAGGCTGGGCATGAACTTGGCAATCCTTCTGCCTCAACTTCCCAGCCTGCTGCAATTATAGGCACGAACCATGCCTGGCTTGACAAAAACATAATTTATTCTACATACACAATAGGTGATGAGAAAACATAATGGGTCAGAGTGTACATTATATGATATCAGGGTATATTATATGGTGCCATTTATATAACATTTGGAAGTGGGCAAAATAAATGAAACAATGGAGATAAAAATAAGAACAGCAGCTCCTTGAGGGTGATTACTGACAGGCAGAGGGTGATAAAGGCCATCAAAGGCATTCAAAGGATTCTATTAATCCACTTGAGAGTCACTTACATGAGTCTGTTCAATTTGCAAAAACCCGCTGAATTACACACTTTCCTGCCTGAATGTTATTTCCCTGTCCTGGGTGAAGGTCTTGATGCTTCAGCCTGTGGTGGGCTTTTCTCCGAGGTCTTTTCTCCCTCCTACAGACCACACTGCCTTACGCCCACCCCGGAGATCTGCCCCCAGTGGCCACATCAAAGCTCCATGACCTTCTCCCAAGGGCCTCCTGGCATCCCCACACCCACCAGTCTCACCCCCAGCTTCCTGTCTCTGGCTCCAGAAGGCATCCAGGTGAGCACAGCTGTCTACATCTCCATGCTACTAGATGGAAGACAGTGATTGAGGCTGAGGACTCTCCCACAGTTAAGGTCCTAATTTATCCACCTATGCCCATCCATGTGCATCCTCCAGCCTACAATCGAAGACTGGTGTCTCCATGAAAGAGGACGGATTCCTGTAGCACTAGACATGGCAGGACTTTCTAGGGACTTGGCATACAGAGTAGCTGGAGCCCTCTGCCTCAGTCAACATGCAGGATGCAGTGAGCAAAGCCCAGCTCCAGATGGGAGAGCCTGTCCAGCTGGTGTTGGCCAGGTCTGGGTTCCCGCAGATAAAGGAGAGAGAGTCGGCCCCAGCTGCAGGATGGTGCCAGAGCAGCTGTGGGGTACAGGAGGAAGTAAGCTCCACACTCATGACCAGCAGCAGGTGGTGGTGGCAGAGTTCCTGCTCCTCAGGAAAGGCAGAGTCTCTCTGACCTTCACACAGAGGGCATGGTCTTCCCTTTCTCTTCCAAATCAACTACGACATGTGATCTAAAAACATGGTGGATGTTTAAATCTTTTTAATGTATTACATAGAAAACATATTCCCAAGAAGCCCCCTCAAAATCTTCCCCCTTGTTTTGAACACACTCATCCCAACATCCTTGTCACTTTCTGCAGCAGCTCCGGGAGTCATGAGTTGTGCTGTCCTGGCTACTTCAGTGTCTTGAATCCATTCAAAATGTTTCCTTTTCACAGTCATTTTGACTTTGGGGAAGAGCCAGAAGGCACAACTGGGGCCAGATCCAGTGAATAAGGCGGATGAGGAAGCACCATCATGTTTTTACAAATTGCCTTTTCATTGGATGGCGCTCAGCAGCAGCACTCACCATTTTTTATCACCTTTCACAAAGACATTCAGAGAAGAGGACTCTAGAACTGCTTCAGAAAATGACAAGAAACATGGGAAGGAGGGGGAGACTCGGAGCGGGAATTCAGGGCAATGTGTCTTTTACTGTCATCATATTTCTTGCTTAGGGTTTTTACAATTCCTTGTTTTTAATTTTTTATTTTTAGTAGTCCTGTCTGCAGTATGTAATGGTTACATTCATCATGGGGAGTTGGTACATGTACACAATATGTCTACAGTCACCATATATTTTGATCACCCCTTTCATGAAAAGTACAGTTTTCCTACAGGAATAGACTATGGCCAAGCAGACAAGACTAGTGCATTAATATGACAGATGTGCCCCACTCCAGAAGAAAGAGGCCTGGAGGCCAATGTCCTCTCTGTGGGGAGGACGGAGGAGCAGAGATAGATTCAGAACAGGAGCTGCCACCCAGAGGGGGCGTTTGTGAGAACTTGGCTTTACCTCTTCAGCAATGACCAGTGGCCTGGTAGGATCTGGATTTAAGTAACAAACTGGGTGGGCCTCACAGTCACTGTGAAGTGATAAGCACCAGTAAGCAACTTGGGCCTAAAGCAGATGAAATGTCAGTGCTCCATGACCCTCATGCTGGCCCTGAATGGCAGAGTGGACTATTTGCCGTGGCCATGGAAGACATTAAAATGTAGTTCATCAGGGCCAGGGATTTAACTCAGTGGTTCCGCCACCTGCTGCGCAAGTGCAAGGACCTGAGTTTGATCCCCGGTACCAAAAAAAAAAAGAAAAAAGAAAAAAAGAATGTGGTTCATCTAATACTTACATTTTGCAAAGTAAAGGTAAGATCCAAAGTGTTTTCTTTCAAGAAAAATCTTTTGTTATTATAGAAGGAAGAAACAATCTGAAACCCACTAAAGGGGAATCTACAGCACAGGTTTTAAGACAGACTGAACTATTAAGGGACATTGTGGAACCGATTGTTTGAAAGGCACTCAGAATTCTACCCCAAATTCAGTCAGTGAATGGAAATCTGCAAATTCTACAGTGATTAGGGCCAAGTCCAGAAAAGCTTTGGGATTTGTATTCAAAACTGTTACTTACCAGCTTAAAGGGGTCATGTAAGGAAATATGTCACGAAATGAATGAAAAGATATTATACAAGGGAATCACCATAAAATATCAATAATGTGTCTTTATAATCTTCATGGTAGGTTTCCAGTGACAGGACCTTCATTCATTTCTGCATAAAGAACCCCTCCCTTAATCAGATGTCAGAGGGAAATAGTACTTAGAAAGTGCAGGTCAAGGGATTCAGGTTATGCAGGGGGAGGTATATTATTGTAAATTACTCAAGAGAAAGCAGAGCTCTTCCTCACATATTTCAAATGTATTATCTGAGGATACTTTAGATACCTTTGCAAAGCTACCTTCACTCCCATTTTTAGGCTTGTGGGGGCCACAGTGTGCACATGGAGCACATTACATAGTTCCACCTCCAATACGCCCCTCCTAGCACTGGCTTACATGTCTGCCTGACAAAGGTAAAAACACAGCAACAGAGGGAACCGGATATGGAGAAGGGCACTGCTTATCTGGGCTGAATTTCCACACCTTCCTGCTCCCAGGAATTAATGGCATTGCATCACAGAAATAAATTATGTTACGGTATCAACCAAGTTCACCTTAGGTGCTACAATGTAGCCGGAAAATGAAGCAGTTTCAAAATGGAAGATACACTGAGACAACTCAATAAGTGGAAAGATTATCTCACAGATTGGCATTTTATCCTCTGAAATTCTCCTTCCTAGTGCTGGTGACTCACACCAAACAAAAATCAAACTAACAATAAAAGGAACGTAAAATCGTATCAGAAGCATGGACAACACCAATCAGATGCATTCCTTACCTCACAACCTCCAGGACGGCTTCCTCCCTCCCTGCCTCTGTTGAAGGGTGAGCCCTTTAGAACATACCCTGCCCAGCGCAGAAGGTCCCGGTGGAGCAGAACTCGCAGCAGGAGGAGAACCGTGCCTTGCAAGGCCAATTCCACGAAGATCCAGCCCAGGAGGTGCATCTCGAAGGGACTCACATAGGAATCGATGCCGAAGTTATGGGTCAGGTCATACCTGATCTGATTATAGCAGAGTTCTATCAGCCCTTGACCAAGGCAGAACTGGGGGAAAATCGTGAAGACCCACTTAAGGACATCATAGATGTTCTGTAAATTCTGCACAGTGGAAGAAAGAAAAGCAATGAAATTAAAATCTATCCTCCTTTCAGCAACATATGCGAGTGGCTTCTTTTCTCCTTGCTTGTGTCTCAGGTCTTCCCTCCAATTCTTCAATGACCTTCTCAGCCACCCAAGCAGAGTATGATTCCTGAGATTTAACAGCTAACAGTATTTTCCTCACTAGTTTTACTTCCTAGGACCTTTTGCCCCTTTCTTCCTTGTCTGCTTTCTGGGATGGGAATGTCTACGCTATGGACGCCCCTCCTCTTTCAGAAGCCCATAACCTGTTTGGGTCCCACAGGCTCACAGCTGGGGAAAAATAAGCTCAGGATGTGTCTCTGAGTGTCACCCACAGCTGATTCACACGGCATTTGTAAGTGAGACTCTGAACTTCTGAGCTGATGGAGCAACAGGTTAAAACCCTGGTGGCTGTTGAGATGGGATGAACTGATTCTTCAGGTGAGAAAGACATGAATCTTGGGGCCCAGAGTCAAAGTAATATGGACAGAATATCTGTGTTCTCCTCAGATTCATACTGTAAAGCCAGTGCCCAGTGTGACGGCGTTAGGAACTGGGACTTTCTCAAGGTAGTCAGGGGTCAGTGAGGTCATGATGGCAGAGCCCCCACCACGAAATCACTGCACTGACAAGAACAGGAAGAGACCCTGGCTCTGTCTGTCTCCCCAGTGTGTGCGGTCACTGTGAGAAGGCAGCCTTGCAAACCGCAATAAGGCCCTCAGGAAGAGTCACGTCCAAGGCCATCTTGTCTTGGGCTTTTCAACCTCCCACGCTGTGAGAAATAAATACTTTTGTTTATGTCTCAAGTCAAGGTTTTTGTTTGTTTTGTTTTGTCGTCTTGAGCAAACAAAGACACACGGGTAGCATCAGTGCTCGGAGTTCAAATGGCTGCTACATAAGCAGGTCACGGGCACTGTGCTGCAGACTGTGAGCATGTAAATCATGTGCATGCCTGGCTAATTCTTAGCACAATAAACAGAAAATATACACAGTCATCATTACTAAGCATAGAACTGTGCAGTGTCACAAAACTAACTATAAGTAACAGGAGAGAACAAGGAGAATTCCAGAAAAAAATAACAAGCTACAGAGTTGAACACAATTTCAAAATTGATGCACCTAAAAATTTAAAATCTGCCATAACTTTTATGACTGTCTATACCACCTGACAAGCATTCCTCTTATTTTATAATGAGATTAAAATGATCACAAGGGTAAGCAGTTATCCACTAAATGTTTTAGATAAATCACTGCATGTCAATAATGTACCCTTTACCATATTTCAGTGTTTCAATAAATATACACAGTACCAAAAGGTGAGCTCAAGAGCCAAAGAGGAACCATGCCCTGGAGAACATGAAGAATGTCTACACGCCACACCCATGTGATGTGAAAGGGCTTTCTCCTGGCCTTTGGGACAAAGAACAAAGTCTTTCCACCAAGAAACACAGCCCTTGGAGAAAATCTACTGAAATGCTGGCCTGATGAGCTGACCTTTATACTCAGTATAGCTACTTTAAAGTATTTAACCCAGAAAGGACACATTAACTAGCACTTCCAAACAAAGTCCTGGAAAATAATGAAAATTTAGACTTGCATTTTACAGTCCTTCTCTCTTTATAGTCAAAATATAAAACTGTTCTAAACATACAATCACATTTTATAAGGTAGCAAAAATTATCATAATGTGTACTTATAACAAACAACAGTGTGTCATAGCATAAATATTAAACATTCAACCTACAGAATTGTCAATTCTATATTTCATACTACACAGAGTATGATACAAACTGAAAACATGGATAAGCTAAGTGTAGTCTTAAGGAATGTGGTTTGGGGCAACAGAAAACACAATAACTTTTGGGGTATTTATTGCCGAAAGATGGTATACTGTCTAATATAGAGAGATGTACAGAAAGTATAAAAGCTTCACTTAATTCTTGCTTAGTTTTTTCTTGACTACAACTAGTTATAAATTTCAATCAGTCTTAAGAGAGTTAATGAATTCCATTTTTTTGTGAAATTATATTCCGGCATCAAGGAATGCACCACAAGAAAGAATCTTGTATTATAGTGATAAGAAGAGCAGAATATGGCAGCTCCTAACAGGAATTTGTGACCAAGGAAGTGGTATACGAATTGGGGTGGCTCCATACCATGTCTTCAGGACCCTACAACGGTCCCTGGATGAGTGTGCAAGACCGAGTTAGTAAGGAACCCAAGCATGTGAAGGAAACGTCGCTGTGGGGACTGGTCCTGACCTGGCTCTGAGGCTTTTGCCATGGGGATGGTCTGCCTTGGGTCCCATTCTGAGTCACCAAGGTTCACAACACCCCGATGGCCCACGTCCCATGGACAGTGAGGGAGATAGGGGGGAATCGTGTGCTGCTCCCATGGATTTCAGGATTCTCCTCAAGCTGAGGCCAATTAATTGCTCTGCAAGCTCCCTCTTTGAAGGCTAGACATAGTAATACAGATTACTGTCAAACCAGATCTGTAAAAATCATTGAAACAGATCATCCCCCTCGTTGACTGCTTAATAGATATTTACATACTTCACTGCCTCCACACACACGAGGCACAATAATAAAATAATACTGCCCATCTGCGGAGAATGCACTGGCCTCTGAAATCCAGTGGTGAGGGATGGACCTGTCAGGATTAGGCAGATGACCAGTCCTGCCTCATGGAAATGATACCAGCTCCATGTGATTCCTTCCCAAGGAATGCTGAACCTCCCTGGGCATGTTCTCAGCCCTGCATCAGCCAAAAGCCTGGGCTCCCAGTCTCTCCCCCAGGAACGTTCTCCATCCTGCATCAGTCAAACACCTGGGTGCTCTGAGGAATCACAGAAAGTGACAGCATGGAGTTGTGAGAAGGCAGTCAGGTCAGAGGGGAGGAAAGAAAGCAAGAATGGGAAGGGCGGAGGAGCATGCAGAGTCTGAAGTCTCCTCAAACAGCTGCCTAGGAGGTGTCAGGGCTGACTGCAAGCGGAGGCCAAGAGTGAGGCAGCCCGGGAGGGAGGAGACAGCCTGAGGGGGCACAAGCTCTCAGCTGGACCTGGACGCCTGCCTGTGGGGACAGTCCCCAGAGTGGCCTGCGAATGAGGAGGCCAAGTGGACAGAGTCACTGGTCCACCTGGCTGTGCACCCCATGCTCAGGGCAGCCCTTTGCTCCACCACCTGGAGAGTAGTTCCAGGGGCCCCAGCCAAAAGGACAGGGTCCCCAGGTCGCCCTCCAGACTGAGAGTGCAGTCACCGACTGTGACCCGTCCTGCCTTCTAGCATCCGACAAGATGGGGACGCTTTGCCGGGACACTTTTCATTGCTTTCTCTCCCCTGCCCTTCCACTGTCAAACTCCCCGGGGAAGATGCTGGGATGTGGCTGTGGATACTTCCATGACTCTGTCCTGGCTCCTGCAGCAGCAGCCACTGCGCATCTTTTGTCAGCTGTCACCGCATGTGGGCAGGGCTCGCACAGCCACAGATGTTTTGTGAATTAGAGCCACTGTCTCTTCTGGGGTTTAAAGACAGTGGGCATGGCACATCTCCGCTGATTTCCAGTTGGCAAAGCAGCAACACTGCCAGCATCCCCTCCCTGCCGCTTGAGCCCTTGGAGAGGGGGGGAACCGTGGCTAACTGACCTGGGCTTTGGAGACGATGGCCAGGAGCCGGGGCATGGTCGTCATCAGCAGGGTGCAGAGGCCGAAGATGAAGTTCAAGGAGATGTAGGAGATGAAAGCCACGTCTGAGCTGGAGAAGATTCCAGACATCAGATACATCCATGGAAGTGATGCATATCTGAAAAGCATGGAGAAAGCCACGCTTCCTGTAACAGCTATTAGCCTGAGGCTGAGTTATGCATGCAGTTTATTGGCCTGGCGATTTCTGCTCATGTACCCCGGGCCCTCCCTGGAGGAAGCGCTGCTCTGGGGGCTTCCTGTGTAATGAGAAGGCCTTCTGCCTCCCTGGTCAGCCTCCCTTCCCCACCTGTCTCCTCCCAAGGGGACACCTCTATGGTGCCTCCCAACAGCCAAGCAAGCACGATGTCCACTTGTTATACTGAGAAAACACTGTGGAAAGCTGCAGAGCGGTACCTAAAAATTAAAACAGAGAGCTTCATTTCCAGAGTCTGTCGCATGCACAGCAGGACCCAGCAGTCACTGCCTAGGTGTTCCTAACCGCCCTCATGTGCCGCCCCGAAAGCCTGGCCCAGGAAGAAGAGAGCCGGCCACTCCGTGCAGTTTGCCAAGCTCATCCGAGGGGTGCTGCATATGGGCTCCTTTCTGTGGCCCCAAAGCCAAGCAGGAAGAGCCCTAGTAATCCCCTCCAAGCAGGCTCTGTGGGCTCAGACAACTTCAGGACCTAAGAAACCACCCAACCTCCCCAGAAGGAAACCTCCCGCTTTCATCTTTGTCCTCACAGCCCAAGAGCCAGGATTCCTTCTGGCCAATTTCCCTCGGCTCCTTCCTGCCACAGCATACGGGTCCCTTCCGTGCATGCCGCTAGGGGAAACTGGAACTTTGAAGTGCTGTTCCAAACACCAGCAGAGAAGCCACCTACTAGTGTGTGCTCCTGGGGGTTGACTCTGAGCTACATTCCAGCCCTTTTTAGTTTTTATTTTAAGACAGAGCCTCACTAAGTGGCTCGTTATGTTTGAGCATAGGCAGGGATCCCACTTGCAATCCTCATGCCTCGGCCTCCCTCAGCCTTTTGGATTTGTGGTGTGCACCACCATGCCTGTGGAAGTCACTTATTTTAATAAAGAACAGAAACAGGGAGATGGATTTTCTGGACAGAGGAAGGGGATCTGGGGATGGGGCGAGATGGGAGGGAGAGGAGGGGAAAGGAAATAAATAGGATCAACGTGTGACATGTGTGTATGTATCAATTTACCATGATGTATTTATTAGGTATCACAGGCATGCATTAATAATTTTTTAAAATAAAATACAAAGAATAAAAATTCACAGCCTTTCTCGTAAGACCCATCTAGCGGGCAGCCCTGTAATACTCTCTCCAGACTCCAGGTAAATTCGTCACTGTTTTCTTACGGTGATTAATTGTTTAACCTGCAACACTTCAGTGCCTCCTAAATGCCCAAGGCTGTTTTAATATGTTAACTAGCTCTGAAAATTATGAGACTTCAAATGTTGTCAGAGACGCTAGGGTGGCGTCTGGACAGCTATTATTCTAGCACACTTCCCTTTGCATATGAAATCCAAGATTGCGGAACGCATATCTGAGAGAAACGAGGCCTGCTCCTACTGTGGAAAACACTGTATACAGAATACTGTCCATAAAATCATAGTGTCCCACAAACGTCACTCCACATCACTGGGGCATGAGGGGAATTACTGTGGAGCCCACAGTGGAGACAAGAGCTTTAAAGCCGTTATTCTAAAACAGTTACTGTACAAAATAATTTAATTAAAATAATTACCAGAGACAAGCCCTGACTTCTAGAGACTTTAAGCTGCCAACACCTATGTCCAACATGAAGAATCAAAGCCCACGGGCTCACAAACACAGCATACCCCTCTCGACCTTCCCTTCTCAGGCAGAAATCAACTACTGCCCTGTGTCACGTGGCTTCTTTGAGAAGCAAATAAAATCATAGTATTAAGAGTAATTCTGCAAGTGAAATATAAACAGTAGGGCTGTGACCAATTTTTAAAAATTAACTGTTTGACTGATTGCAATACTGGGAGCTGAACTCGGGGCCTTTTCCCTGAGCTGTATCCCCATTGCTTTTTACTTCTAGTGTTCAGATATGGTCTCACTAAATTGCTAAGTTCCTCAGGTTGGACTTGAACTTGGAATCCTCCTGCCTCGACCTCCCAGGCTCCTGAGATTACAATCCTGCGGCAACAGGCCCTGCCTTGTGAACCAACTTTCGGGCTAGCTTTAATTGCTATAAAATTTGTTGGGGAGTGAATAAAAATTGCCTCTAATTAAATACTTCAGATTCAATCTCTCTGTTCTGAAACATATGACAAATTGCTTTGCTTTTCCACTGGACAGAATTTTTAGCAGCTGAACATAACCACTTTGGTCCACTTACACCTCCACTAAAAGGACCGGGCCTGTCTTTGTTCCTTGTAATCTGTGGTACCCAGCAGCTCTCTCTGCTCAGCCTGGTGATGTCAGGGTGAGGGGAACTCTGGAGCAGCACCTCATAGAGCATCTGATGTGGTCGGCAGGGTACAAAGCACAGTGAGCCTGTGCCCTCCTTTGATGGACGTCTCTGTATCCACAATGGGCAGCACGGATGCCTGCCTTTCCCACTGCCAGGCTGAATACCCCAATCTGTCCTGGATGGGGGACTAATTACCACCGAGAGGCCAGTCTCTGCTCCCTGGAGTTTGCTCAAAATCTGCACTTTGTCACACATTACATAACGCTCCCATGCTGGGTTGTATCGTTTCAATATTGGACAAGTAGATCAAAGCATTATCTAAGGAAAAAGAACCGGAGACAAAGGCCTAGTTTTCATTGATGCCCCTGGATCTGCCTATCACTGATTAATGACAGGTCTTCCAGTGTGGTTTTCATACAATTCCATCACAATCCTTTTTTTAACTACATTTTCTTTAGTTACCTTTCAAATACTTGGTTGGAATGAATATATTAGCAAAGCTGGTCCCCCTGTCTTTTTCTGGTTTTGAGGGAAAAAATATTGAACTGACTTATAGCGCATAATTTCTTGTCTCGAGAGACCAGGGCTTTTAATACTCTCCATGCTTTTATTAAAATATTATGTATAGTCTGAATGATTTTAGAATCTGATGGAGACCGGTGTCCTGTTCACAAGTGCTCTGAAATTTATGGAAGGGCATTATGTCACTGCCTCCCTGAGAATCAGCCCCTTCCATGCTGTGTGACTCTCCCGAGACACCTCATCTTCACAGCCATTCAACACTAAATCCACACCCAGCACCTCCTAAGGTCGGATGCTTTATACAGGCGGGACTGACTTTTCCTGCAGACACTGTCAGCAGTTACTTTCTTCTTTTGATGCGACTCTGTTTCCCCTTTGGATTAGATATCAAAGTCTCCTTGACAAGGAGAAATACTACTGGGCCCAGATGTTATCCTCTTTGAGCATCCCTTTGTCCATCCTCTCCGCATTCCCCCAGTTCCAATTCATTAAATGGGCCTGTTTAGTGCTGGCTGTCCTTGGGTCTAGGCCCAGTTCCGGTCCTGGAATTGTTCCCGGGCTCCTGGGACCTGCAGGTCCTGTGGACTCGGAAGAGCGAGCCAACTCGCTGGAACCCTTAGGAGGAAGTGTGTAACCTGTTGGCCTAGGACTGTGCAACAACACAACAACACACCCATGATCCTCCTGAAATCTTCTGGAAAATGTAGTTATGTACACAGAAAGAATTCCTAATTGGATGAAAAGTCTTAAAGGGGCTCAGGATCAAATCAAGGTCCACAGATGTCTCAAATCTTGTTTTGTAAGTTTCTAACCATTTGAAGTTACGTTCTTACCATAGTTTCTGAAATCTCCTCCTTAAATTTTAAAAATAATTTTACAGTGAAGTCCATTCTCCACACATTGTTAGGGGGATGCCACAGAACACTCAACTGGATCAATAAACTGACATCAGGCCGTGAGACCTGGAGATACACAAACACGGATCTTTACATAAGAGCGCATCAGTGTCAAACAAAGTAGGATAAATATGTACTATACGTGTTGTGTCACTGAGGACATACTAGTTCTAAAGAATAAAATAATTCTAGAGATGACAATTATAAAGTTAAATTAACCAGACTGTTGAGCCACTGTCCACTAAGTTTGTACGAATGACCTAATTTCATCTCTACAGCAACAGAAACACCATTTATAGGGAAGAAACCAAGGCTGAGAGAGAGGAATTAACCTTCCCAAGACCACATAGCAACATCAATAGTAGCCAGCAATATCGACAGTAACCAAAAACGTATTTTTCCCATGTCCCTAGGTGTCTTTCCACCTATCCATCCTCCATCAATTCATCCACTTCATAATTCTGTGTACTTTCAGTAAAACCGTGCACCCTAATTAAATGCTTTCAATAATACTGGGTCACTGACAGAACAGCAAAGTATACAGTTGTTATTTTAGTTGTGATTTTTGGTTCACAGCTGGAGGTTTTATTTCAAAACTAGGCTCGAGTCCTGATAAGTCAGAGTATTATTTCCCCTACTATGAGAAAGCAGCTCTGACCCACTCAGCCGCGCGGAAACTTCTATGCCTGGCAGAGAAGACCCAGACACCCCCGCCCCCAAATGCACACAAGTCAGGGCACGGCGAGCCGCGATCTCGGTGAGCATGTGGAGGGGGAATTTATACAGCGACTTCTGCCTCTGCCATTTTTCCTCAGCTCAAAATCAGACCAAGCTACCAATATAGAGGAGGGGGAAGCACTCCAGACAGTGTGCGCAAGGGCTCTGTCCAAACGCAATTTCAAGCCCACAATCAACGGCCAAGTGAGAGCCCGGGGATCACCCCACCCCACCCCACGCCCGCCGCGAGGCCATCTAGCCTCGCTGACAGGCCCGGCACGGTCTCCTGATGACCGTGGCCCCTCCCTCCAGGGCCACTCATCACCCGGCTGGGGCTTGTTTGTTCCGCGCCGCCAGAAGCCACGTAATTGCTTGAGAAGGGAGGAAATCACGGAGCCGACAGCAGGTTCAAAGCCATCCTGAGGGTTTTCTCTTTCAAGAAACAAACTATAATTCTGCAGCAGCGTTTCTCATCACATACCCACCCGAACAGAGCCAGCAGGAGGGCCGTGGCTGCCAGGTTCTCGCGGAAGGTGAAAGCCGTTAACTGGAAGGCAGCGATGACTGAGACACACAGGCACGAGGACACCAAGTAAAAGAGCTGAGGAAATAAAACCAACAAAGGCAGAGGCCGTTAGAGATTCACACGGGAAGTACCCTGCTCGGGCCACACCCTGCTGCCCCCACGTGGCGTCTGTCACTAGACTCTGCCCTGACTTTTAAATGAGGTCATTAAAGTGGAGCCTGGTCCCCTATGAGTGTAGAGGAAATGAGGGCCAGGAGTAAGGCCCACGGCTGCGATCCCAGCAGAGGCAGGAGCATTACAAGTTTGAGCCCAGCTCAGACAACTTCATGACTTTTCAGACCCTGTCTCAAAATAAAACTTAAAAAAGCCTGAGGAGCTGAGCATGGTGATGCATGGCTGTAATCCTACCACTGGGGAGGCTGAGGCAGGAGGATCACTGTGAATTTGAGGCCAGCCTGAACTGCATAGTGAGACCTTGTCTCAGAAACTAAAAAAAAAAGTGTGTGTGGGGTGGGGTGAGGATGTAGCTCAGGAGGAGGCAGACGAAGGGGTGGGGGACTAGAACACAGACACACCAAGGGATGATCCTGTAAGGACAATGGGAGAAGACAGCCATCCACAGGCGGTGGAGAGAAGCCCTGGGAAGCCCACTTGCCTGTACCTGAACCACGGCCTTCCCACCTCCAGGACTGTGGGGGGTGCCGTGGCCGCCCCAGCAAGCTGGCACAGTCCCCGCCCACCTCCTTTGGGAAGGATCGAGGGCTGCAGACACTGGTGGAGCCCAGAACAAGCTCCTTCCCTACCTCCCACCAACCTCCCCTGCAGCTGCCCCCACAGGCCAGCAAGCAGGGCCTCCTGGGGCTCTCACAGACACAGTGCCGTCTTCTGGGCCACTGGCTGTGCAGCTGTGCCTCGGTGCCACCCTGTGACTGGCTCGCTCTGCTTATAGGTCTCAGCTTCAACTGCACTCGCCCTGGGGCTCCCACTTCAAAGTCCCCCCACCCCACCATCCTCTTCTATCTCTCGGGTGACCCAGGCATGAAGCAGTGGTATCCGGCACCGGTGATTTATTTGCTTGTTTTCTGATTTTTCTATGAACAGAGAGATCTTTGGTTTACTCATGACTTCAGGACCAACATTTCTGTGCATGTGGGTGGCTGGAAAAGAATGAGATAGCTAGGGGCTGATAAAGAGCAGAAACATCTCGTACAGAGCTGGAGGCCAGAGAGCCCAAGGTCACGGCCCCCCAGCAGGTGTGTTGTCTAGAGGGTCTTTCCCAGCCGGGAGGCAGCACCTTCTCACCCACTGTGTGCTCACATGGTAGAGCGAGCTCCACCTCAGGACTCCATGGCTTCCAAAGAGCCCACCCCCTGGGCCAGCACACTGGGGACCTGGCTGAAGACTGGCTTTGGGGAGCACACACGTTTACTTTAGAGAGAGCTGGGACACACCTTGCGCCCCAGCGGATCATGAAAATGCTCATTCCATGCACCATGAAATGCAAGGGGCAAGGATTGCTTGGATAATCATAGAGAAGCAGTCAACCAAAGCTGCAAATGTTCTGTCCTTAACCCCAGGGCCAGGCACCCCGGGTAAACCAGGGCCAAGGCAGAGTGAGGGATGCAGAGCACAACCTGAGGACGCAGGCAGGAGGAAGCCATGGGGCTTGGGAAGCTGGGTGTGGCCCTGGGGCCCAGACAGGTGCTCCTTGCAAGGCCTCATTCTTTCCTGCTGCAGCCTTCGCTTCTCCCTGGGGATGCTGGGGCCACTGGGCGATATTAAATGGCCGATGTGGGGAGCAAAGTGGCCCAAGGCCATGCGTGCTCTGGAAACAATCTGAACAGGAGGCTGAGGCTGGCACTGAAATCCTGCTCAGCCCAGCGAGCAGCAGAGTCTGTCAGTCACTTCCTCTCTCCCACCTCTGAGCGTCCATGGTGGGGTGAGGCCTGGGGCCCAGCACCTTCGTGCCTCTTCAGAGATTCATTCACCTCCCTCCCGCATGCTGACTGAGGCTGGGCATGATGCACAGAATCCGGAAGGCTGTGCTGTGGGAATCCCCACTGTCGTGACTGTCACTGGGAAGGTTTGAATTGAACTCAAAACAGTCAGTCAAACTCCTGAAATACTGGGGTAACTTATGTGTGACCTGTACAAGCTATACTTTAAAAAAAAATCTATCTTACATGATTGAAAGGAAATAAATCAGCTAAATTCTAAGCCAGCTCAAAGGCAAAAACATTATAGAAGAGCAACAGGTTAAAATGTCAGGTGCTGTACAAAATGCAAGGCAGCTGGTGCAGAACCTGGCCCCTGACAGTAAATGGGAGGCCTGGCCTGCCTTCCTCCTGGACCAGAGACTTCCGGGATCATCCAGAATCCCACGTATAAAGGCAGGAGGGTGACTGAATCACATTCCCACAAGAAGGCCAAGACAACTGGGAAACAAAGAGAGTGAGTGTTGGCCACAGAAGGGCATGGAGCACTCTGTGGATCATGGCAGATGCGCTTCTGAGGCAAGATAAACATCTGGAACTCTATCTATGCACGATAAACATGTCTGCCAGGGAAGAACTCCAGGAGCCTCTGTCCTGTCCTCGCGGGGACTGCAGACATGGTGTGGGGGTCCCTGTGGGAAATGTGGGCTCCCTCACACGAGGCAATGAGGACAAATCATTCATGAAGGACAGATCCTTCCTAATTCCTTCTGTCATCTTGCCCTCCTCTTCTTCCAAAAGAGCACTTCGAAGGTGACAATTCTCTCATTTCCTAGCTTTCCTGGGCGTCTCCAATTTCCCAGATCTGCAGCTGAGGTCCCCGATCCCCCTACCCAAGCCAGCCTGAGGCTCTGGTGGGCATCACTGAAGGTGGCTGGGCCTGAGATGTCCTCCCAATACAAGCAACCCTTCTTTGTGGCCTGTCCCAGGAGGCCACACCCTCCTGCCCCTGCCCCATGCACACAGGCCTACCATGTCATACAGGAAGTGAGTGACCCAGTACGTCCTGTAGCCAAGGCCACTTATGTGCTGCAACCTCTTGGCTCCGGTCACCCTGTCCCTCACCACGTTGCTCCCGACGCTGGCGGACAGGATGGAGAATCCCAGCACAATGCACAGGGCCACACCACACTGCCGGATGCTCTCCAGGCTGCGGGCAAAGCACAGCAGGTCCTCAGGTAGGAGAGGAGGGTGTGGTCCTCTCTGCTGTTACAGCAGGGCTGATGACTGGCCAGGCGTAGGCTAAAAGTGCGGCTCCCCACACTAGAACCCCGGCACTCTGGAGGGTGGACCACTGCTCAGAAGTTGGGGAAGGCATCACCGAGGAGCAGAGCCCCAGCATTTCTGCGTCTGCTGTCTAAGTCTGCCCTGGAAGCCGAGCCTGACTCCTCGTTAGGTGAAAGCCATCCCCACAGTAGCAGCGACACAGTGTGGGCTCTGCCTGTGTTGGGGTGAATTGGTCACAGCAAGCCTGCCAGTGAGGGCACTGGCGACAGGTCCCCCGCACTGTCCCGCTCCAACCAAGGAGATCCTGGAAATGACCGTGGCCATGCTGCAGCCACATATACCACACGCTCCCCTACAGACTTTTTAACTGCAGCGTTAGCAACACCTTCGTGTCCAGCAAGTGCTGCCAGCCTCCTCTCTGTCCTGGTTTTAGGGACCTTGGGAGCAAATGGTCTTTCCAGTGTCCCACACAATGAAACCTTCTCTGAATGGAACCACGTTCTGGGCTGCACCTCCTTTCCCCTCGTGTCTCATTCATCAGCCACTGCTGCTTGGACTCAGGCAGCTGTCAGGGACTATGAGAGGTAGAGTCTTGAATATCAGTGTGTGAAGGGCAGGGCAAACTGGGACCCATCTTTCCTGCCACAGTAATGACTGGAGGACAGAATTAAGGATTAAGCACGTTGTGGCCGGGCATGCTACACACAGGTACACACCTGTAATCCTAACACTCTGGGAGGCTGAGGCAGGAGGATGGCAAGTTTGAGCCCAGCCTGGGCAACCGAGCAACTTAGTGAGACCCTGTCTCAAAATAAATAAAAATAAACAGCCAGCCGTGGATGTAGCTCAGTTGGAAGGATCTGGGTTCATTCCCAGTGTCATTTTTTTTTTAAGCATATCATATCATGTTCCTACCTTGATAGGCAGGCTACAAACAATGCCCTCACTATCAAAGCAGTGTTAAGTTTGTTGACAATATGACACAGAAGGGAGATGGCAAATACAGAGGCTGTGCAGAAGACTGTACCTTGTAAGAAGACAGTGGAGAGTGACACTACACCCCTCCACTGGGACAGCAAGGCGTCTCCCACAGGAAATGTCAGGGCGCTGTCCTGTTTACCTGTGTGTGTGCCGTGTGTGTCAACCAGAAAAACTGTCCTGGGTGTACCTGGGTACCTCCCAGCTGGGAGCATAGGGCAGCAGTAGAACACTTGACTGGAGGCACCAGGCCCTGGGTGCCACCCCAGCACTGCACTCGTACACACAAATGTCCTGGAAGATGTGCACCCCACGCACTGCCGGGAACTCTCTGCCTTGGGACAGTTTCTCCTTAGAATAGGGCTGCATGGTGGTCCCATCCACTCGCAGCTCAGTGGCTGCATCTCCTTCCATTAACCTTCTCCTCCCACCCACCAGGAGAGGTCCAGGCCCGTGCACACACTAACTGCATACATCTCTCCTAAGAGATGTTGGCACAAAGATCTTCTATGCTTAGGTTTCCACCCTTCCCACTCACATCTTGTCTTCATTCAGCAAGGCCCCTCCATATGGACGGCTGTACAGCGTTATTCCTGTGAGGAGAAAGTTGCAAAGTGAGCCTTGAGCCTCTCCTGCCCAGTGAGTCACGGCCCACCCCTAAGGCACACAGACACCCCATGCCCAGCTCCTGCGTCCTTTCCCCAGGCCCCTGTCCACCAGCAACCCCAAGACCGGATCCCGCTGTGCAATTCAGCCATTGCGTGCTGACACTGCTGTCATTGCTAACGCTGCCAAACATAACTGGTTAACGATACATGTCACCAATGCCACACATGCACTGTACATGCGTTATATGATGGGCACTGTACTCACGTGTTACATATTATGCACCATAAGTGCCCCAATACCCCGGGATAGTTTATGATGAAGAAACAGACTTAGGAGATAAAAGCATGCAAAGGAGAGTATTTGGTAGCAATCAGGTCAATATTCAATTCGCCTCTGCGGAAAGCCAGCTTAGAGGGGAAAACTGGACCACTTCCTTTGGCCAACTTTTAGTTGTTTGGCTTTGCTTTTTTCAAATGCTGGCAGCCAATAGAGAGAAACTGCCACCAAGTTATCAACTAACAGGGTTTCATTGTGAAGGCAGCTCATAATAATACATAGCGTGGCATCCCTTGCCCAGCATGCCCCAGTCCATACTGCATGGAGAGCTCTGAAACTTCACACAAGTGATTTGTATCTCGCCCTAAAGACTCTGCGAACTGTGAGAGTAATTAGATTTCTGCTTCTAATTGGTTGCCTCGAACATGTGGAGCTGAGTGGCTTATACTGGAGGCAGCATGAAGGCCCCAATCCTTGCTCTGTTTCATGCTGTAACTTCTGTGTTTTCTTCCGCTTCTCCTGACATGCCTTTAACTCATCTGTATTTTGCAGTCCCTTATGAAGGCATAGTAAGTCCTTCCTGAAACACCACAGGGTATAAGGAAACATAAATAAATTAAAAGCTACAGTCTTAGAACAGACCTCAGTTCTCTGAAGTCCCAGCAGTCCTGCCCCGACGCCCTGACATTGCCAGGCTGCCGCCTGCTCCCTCCATCACACCAGCCTTCCCAGCCCCTTCCCTGGCAAGCTCAGCTGTGCGATAAGGCAGGCGAGCTCTGCTCATAGCAGAAAGAACAGTGGGAGGCATTTGTTCAGCAAGTCTCTTCTACAGTCCTGCAGGACAATTTCTGTGATTATAAATTGATATTGTCCAGACATTCTACTCCTGGCTCCCAGTGTGTGGGCCTAATGCCTGCTGCCTGGTTTCCTAGATCCCGGGCTTCACTTCCACATCCATCTCGGACACAGTTTCTGGAGCCAATGCCTGCCTGCCTGGACCAGAACATCTGCCAGGCTTTCTTCCCTTTGTCTTCCAGTGAATGTGACTTCTGGCCTCACTCCTCATCGTACCTGCCAGTCACTCTGTGGACTAACTAAAATGCTGCCTCCTGAAGCTAGCAGCTAGCATTTCACCTGACAAGCAGCCTGGTACGGACCACTTGGCTATGCGAAAGCCAGCTGACCTCAGCAGTGCTCACAAAGCACACTGCCCAGGGTGATGGGTGTCCCTGCAGGTGCTGCAGACAGCGAGGGTGGGTCTGCAATGTTGTGTGCTATTCCGGGTGCTGCGTATGACTAGGAGAACCCAGAAAAGTGTGGTTAGCTGAGTGTGCGAGATCTGGGAATTATATTTTCTTTGGAACATAGGGGAATACTGGAATTGTTAAACATGAAATTGCACACACACACACACACACACACACACCAAGAGAGTATGAACAAATGTAAAATATCACGTATACAAGGAAAGAGACTTGCTCAGTACTGTTTTGGAGAGAGAAACTCATTGGAGAGGAAGGTTCCAACCATATCACCAAGCATCTTTAAAATTAAACTGTGATTGTTAACTACAGAGCCTTCCTGACTCTCATGACTTAAATTCTACAAATAATCAAAGCCCAGGGGGTCCTGGGAACCTCGACATCAAAGCAACCAGGAGTGCAGGAGGCTTGGGAGCCCTCAAGGTGCCGCTGGTATCTGAAGTCTCCACGGGGACCCCGCCTTTTGATTTAACCGAGCAGAGTGGCCAGCTACAGGATTGCATTCAGCATGCAGCTCACCCTTCTCCCCAGGAGAACACAGGGTCCCCATCTTTTAACCATACCTTTGGACCTGCCTTCTTACCCCACCTCTTCCCTCCGAAGCACTATGGACTTTGATTTGTGGACCCTGTGCTGACTGCAGTCAGTCGATGGCAGAGTTGAAGGACAACTTCATGTGGCAGAAGTGTGGGTTTGGCCACAGGCCTCCGCTGGCTCTCCTCACCCCACATCCTCGGGCCCCTGGGTCCTCCCAGGCATCCTCTGATGATCACAGATCCACCCCACACAGCTCGCCCCATATTCTGCAGGCTCATGAGGACCCCTCCCTATGGAAGGCCTGCAGAAGTCCTCCTCATCCTCCAGTCTTTCCACACGAATGACTCCGTGGTCCTCCCATCACCCAGACTCAGAGGCCAAGGCTCCTCACCCCTGCCCCACACATTCCAGGAGTCCCCACATCTGCCACACCCCTCTCACCTCCATGCACAGCAGGGGCCCTGCCCAGAGGGCCCTGACCCAAGTCACCTCTACCCTGCCTCCCCAAGTTCACAGTCCCTCAGCAGCCTGGGAAACTTCCAAAAGGAGCAGGAATGCAAACAGAGCATTCATATTCTCCTCCTAGACACAGGTGCCCTTTTCAGAACAGCCCCACACTCATATTGACCTCTTCTCTCTTGACCTCATCTGAGACCCTGGGACACTATCGTTTCCCCGACCCTAACTACAGACTCCTGTCCCCTCTCCTCAGACTGACATCTTCTGTCTCAGGTCTCGCTGATGAATCTCATGCCCTTGTCTGAAATCACAATCCCACTTCTGTGTTGTGTTTCCTGCTTCACTGAGGTACAGCTGATGAATAAAAAATGTAGACACTGTTCCCAATGTACAATGGGCTGGCTTACAATTTTTCAAATTCATGGTGCGAAAGAGAGTTCAGTAGAGTTCATACTTCAAATTTTGAGATTTAGTCTCTTCCTGGGACAGCAAGAGGATGCTCTCTCTGGATGCTGGGCAGGGGCAGCCACTGCACCAGGTCCTGGTCACCCCACAATCACAGAGGGTGCCAGGGGGACCAGCGCAGGGCGCCAGATACAAGGCTATACTGAGTAGGATAGTTGTATTACATGCATTTCCCACTTATAATATTTTCAACTCACGATGGGTTTATGGGACCTAACTCCATCATTTAATCATAGAACCTCTGTATTTAAAGTGTATAGTGATGTTTTAATTACATATAAGTTGTGGAATGATTATCACTCAAGCCAATTAACATATCTACCACCTCTCCTATACTGTTAGGGGAATGTAAATTAGCACAGCCATTATTAAAAACAGCACAAATGTGCCTCAAAAAATTTACAGCAGAACTACTGTACCACTAAGGGATTGATGAGATTATATCCAAAAGAAATAAAATCACTAGTTTAAAGATATCTGCACCATCACATCTATTGAAGCATTATTCACAATAGCCAAGATATGAATACAATCCAAGTGTTCACTGAGAGATGAATGCACATAATGTAGAGTGTCCATATTCATTATACACATAAATATTCACATCTATTTATGTATGTATATATATATATTTCATGTATCCATTCATCCACTGATACAGATATATAATATACATAAATACACACATATATATGTGAGTATATATAGGTATATACATTTTCTGTATCCATTTATCTATGGCTACACACTCAGACACACAGTGGAATATTATTCAATCTTTAAAAAAATGAGCTCCTACCTTTCACAATATCATGGATGAAACAAAGACACTATGCTCACCAAAATAAGTCAGAGACTGAAAGATGAATTCCTCATGATCTCACCTATACATGAAATTTCAAAAATCAAAGTCATAAAAATAGAGAAAGAAGGTGTTTATCAAGGGTCAGAGGAGGGGTACATGGGGGGATATGAGGCAAAGGGTAGAGACTTTCAGGTAGAAGATGAATTCAAGTTCTGGAGACTTAACGTTGCAGACTGCTATTAATAACACTGTGTTGCTTATTTGAAAGCTGATGAAGATAGATCTTTAGTGCTCGCATCACACATGCACACAAGAAAGACGAATTAAGCTGGCAAGAGGACAGCAGAGAAGGGAAAGGAGAGGCATTTCTCAGGCTCTGAGGCCTTGCTTACTTGTGAGCAGAGAGAAGTACCCAAAAGTAATAGTCAGCCCTCCTTAGACACAGCTTTCACATCTGTAGCTTCAACTAACCATGAATCAAAAACATGCAGGAAGAAATGTACTGAACTGAATGGGTGCAGACATATTCCCTTTGTTATATTCCTTACACACTATAGCCTAACAATGATTCACAAAGCACTCGCACTATTTTAGGCATTGTAATAATTGTTATGAAAAAATAATAATAATAATTGTTATGTTGTAGGCTTAAAACATCGTCTAAAAGTCTCTCAGGCTGGAAGGCATGGCCTGGTTGGAAGAGGTGGTTATTGGGCCCATGATCCAGAAGGGTGGAATCTTATCCCCAGATCTTCCTTTTTCTCTCTGTTGCCTGGTTGCCATAGGATGAGCAGTTTTCTTCCTCCACACTTCCACCATGCTATTTCTGCCTTGGAACCAGCCCACCTTGAACTGAACCCATTGAAACCATAAGCAAAAATAAACCTTTCCTCCTTTAACTTGTGGGTGTTAGGTATTTTGTTCTAGAAACAGGTAAGTGACTAATACTGCAATTTAGAAATTATTTAAAGTATATGGATAACTTAGTGACTTTCTCGTTGCTGAGACAAAATACCTGACACCCATAGTTAAAGGAGGAAAGGTTTATTTAGCCCACAGTTAGTAGAAGTTTCAGTCCATAGTTAGCTGGCTCCAAGGCAGGGCGACATGGTAGGAGGGCATGGCAGTGGAGGAACAGTCCATAGCAGGGCAGACAGGAGGTAGCAGCAACCAGAAGGCC